ATAAGGAAAGGAAATTCGTGAAGTACGAAGTGTATGTACTTATGTACAAAGCGACCGCGAGAATGGAATCAGTTGAATTGCGCGAGCGGAAAGTCGGTTATTTGGCTGAAGCTGAAAGCCAAAAAAAGCCAATACAACTATGTGGCGGTTCGGTTGACTCCACTCACTCGACCATTAGGGAAGTTGTAGTCGCTTGACAGCCGGCGGCGTGATTCCCATGTGAGCCACACTTTGCGCACCGCGTGGGGCCCTGTTATGCGCACTTCAAGGCCGATGTCAGACTTTGCGAATCGCGCGATTCGCTACTAGCGATTCACGCGATTCGCAGAGTCTGACATCAGCCTAATACCGCGCATGCGGCTCTTTTTTTTCCACGTGCGTGTTTTCTTTTGGATGCTTTAGTTCAGCAGAATTTTTCGGGCCTCAAAATCTTTTCTTTCCTGATCATTGTTTGCGTTCGTTTTGTTGCCCTTATCGTGTAGTAAATTGAGAAGTACAAGCAAGTAAAATCCATGCTTTTCCATTGATATCACTCGCTCTCTTGGATCGAAATTCTAGCGTTACACCCCTGAACGCCACTCGCATTGGACGTTGCTGAAATGATTTTGTACCATTCATATTGGATGCATTCACCACTAAAAATTTACGTATGTTAGGTGGGGCGGCCAAGCTCGCAAAATCGTGCCGCTGGCGCGCAGTCGAAAAAGCCAAAACACGTGTTGTCCGTAACTTCTTTCACACTAAAAGGGGGGCTGCGGCAAGCGCCTACTAAGCAGCAGTGCTCCCACTGTCGCGGGCGGCAGTGTCAAGACCGCGTTCAGGTGCGTGAATAGTGTGGGAGCACTACCGACTCGTCCGGGCTCGCGGGCCATACTTTGAAGCGAGGAAAAAGTCACGAGGCCCACGCGCTGTCGTCAAGCTGTTTAGACTTTCCCTTACAGTATTACTCTTGGAACGGTGCTCGTTCAATTCTTCTGTTTGTGTAGATACCTATCTCTCTCTTTTCGGCGACTGTTCAACGCTTCCCTCACGTGATTTCCCTGTCTCCTGTTTCGCTTCTAATCGGTCTGCCTATAATTCTTTTTGTGAATTCTCCATTCCACAGATCCTGTGAGATGGCAATCGCGAAAAATGCTGAACAGGATTGGGTATGAATAGAATCAGTGGGATTGGTCTTTTTCGAGTTTTAGCGGAATTCGTGGGTTTCCGATTCTCGTGATCGACGCGCATCTGCTCGTTTCCGCTGTTTCTCAGATCCATTCCGCGCCGGGTTGAAGACAGCCTTATATGAAGGAGATCCCAGGTCGAATGGCTATTATTAAACTTATAGTGCTGAACGGGCGGTGCGATTCTCTGTAAGGAGTTGAAGGTTTTTACGCGCGTGTTTCAACAATTTGACGTCGACGCGTGTTTTTGCGTTTTTTAACACCTGGAATGGAGGAGGGATTTCATGGTGGATTGAGTGGAGCGTATTACGACGTAAGCAAACCAGCCCTTTTGGCACATCGGCTGGGACCGTATGCTGAATGTTGGGGAGGGGATGGGGTCCCCAACGGTCGACGGTTTACTTCAACTCGGTTGGTACGATAGGAGAGTACTGACGCAAGTGGTGCAGCTGGTCCAGTAGCTTCGCCAGAAGGACCGGTCTGCTCACCCCAGGACTAAGCCTTAGGAGAGGGGACGGACCCAGTCTTCTCTTTAAAGCAACAGTTCAGGGAGGGTCCGAAAATTTTCAATGCCACTACTACTGAGGGATACACGAGCCCTAGTGAAGAACATATGCAGTGGAAATAATAAACGAACTTACCTCAGAAACTCAAAAACAGGGTGGAAAGTCCCTCAAACATGGGTGTTCTTGGGGATTTCCCCAATCCCGCCCCCTTGCCGGCCGTCATTGGACGCGTCGGCAATCGTGCTCGTTTTGGGACCACAGGGAAAATTGATTGAAAAATGGAGCGCGTTTACAGCGGGCACGTTCAGACAACTCGTCCAACGTGCGTCTTTATCCATTGCTGAGCGGCAGAGGGAGAGTACCTGTCTAAGACCCTCCCCGACGTTTTTTTCCAGTTTTTCATACATTAATCGTCTGGTTTTCATCTACAACTTCATTATTGGTGGTTTTTTCCCGCGAAACCGTTCCTGAACTGTTGCTTTAAGGCTTAGTTCTAAGGTAAGCGCCAAATTGTGGCGGTTCTAAGGACCGCGTTGAAGTTGTCCGTCCACCGTCGGGGACACCATCCCCTCCCCAACATTCAGCATACGGTCCCAGCCGATGTGCCAAAAGGGCTGGTTTGCTTACGTCCCACCTTACATCCCTATGTTTTGTGTATCAGACCAGCAATTCCAGATCGAGTTCGCGGGGTAAAATCGGTTGATGATGGAATTGTGAATGCCGAGTTGACTGCAGAGGAAAAGAGAATGAAAGAAACCATTGATGAAGCTCTAGCACTACCCATAGAGTCTAAAAAACACCTTTCCCCCTGGGAAGGATGGGGGCGGGACTGGACGAGCAGTCCGAACTAGCATTTTGCGAGGAATTCATTATTGGCTTTGCCAGCGAGAAATGCGGCTGCAATTGCATATGCACCAATACAAACAAAGACATGCACCAATATAAACAAAGAAGTACGATAATCAAACGATTCAAGCAAGTAAAACCAAACAAAAAGCAGGCGGCATTCCTTAAAAAGCGGAACAGTTCGCACGCAATCGCGCGATTACCAGGCAACCAGCCACGCAATCGCGCAGGAATCACGCAGCCAGCCACGCGATCTCTCTCGCTAAATGGGAAAGGCGGAGCAGTGAAGTTGGCACATACCTAGGTCCCTTGTAGCGGCTTTCCAAGGTAAGTTTTTCGTTCAGAGACACTTTATTCCACGCATTTTTTCACCCCAGCACAAGTAGGTCTTCAGTACCCAACCACTGTGAGTCGTGCTCTCCAAACGTATGGGATATACGTAAAACTGGAAGGATGGATTCAACACACGATGGATGAGGTTGCTCTACGGACATGCAAACACATGACAAAGTTTGCTGTTGAAGAACGTCGTTTCGACTGGCTGGAAAATGTGATCATTGGGGGAAGGAATAGTCTTGTAAACTATGCAAGAAAGCGTTAGTAGGTTAGTGTAGGTCACAGCCAGAGCCACTCCAAAAGAAGAACTCCACACGTATCACCTGTCGTCCCGTTGATCGTCGATTTGCTCGAGCGGCGCCAGCGTCTCCATTCGTCCCTGTCGCGTGCTAGAGTGGTCCAGTGGATCCTCCTCGCTCGAGGGACACGAAGCCTTCATTCCTTTCGTTCAGAGCTTTCTGACCATCGGGCCGGCGGTCGTCCAGGTGTTCGTTTGACGTCCCGAGGGATCCAGTCGGTAACCGCTCTGGTCCAACGGTCATCGCAAAATCGCATGACGTGTCCGGCCCACCTTATCTTCGATTCCTTGGCGAAAACGGCAGCGTCCCTGATCTTCGATCGTTGGCGTAGTTCGGAACTCCGGATTCCCCTCTGCACTTGCGTGTATAGGGTTACTCCTAGCATCGTCCTCTCGACAGCGCGTTGGATAATTCATGCTCGTTCGATGTTCTTGTACATCTATGGCGCTCTCTTCCTTTGAGGGCAAATTTCACCCGACGGAAAATCTGCTTTCCGTTTGTAGAATGTTCGAGGGGCGTATGACTACGAATTTCTGGATGATAACAATCGTTGACGCAGACACCTACTGTTTGCAGCTGTGTAGGCTTTATGAAGAAACTTAAATTCACAGCTTCCTATGCATAAAGTTTTCGATTACGCGACAGTGCGTGGCCACATGTTGCGAAGAAAGCCTTGAGGATTCCACAGGAACTAGCTTCGTGGCGTTCGCTCTCGATCATACTCTCTTTATCCGCAATAATCGACTACTGCTTGCATGCTAGCTTCCTGAGAAGCAAGGGCTGCGATCATCGCTGGCATCTCGAACGGATTCCCAAATTCTCGCGTCGGAGACTACGCGCTTCCGAGAATGAGGTGTTCCTCTATGGTTAGTTGTGAATAGAGAAAGACATTTGTAGTCAGTTGTGGTGAATATATAACCTAGTAAAGATGGTCCTTATAAAATTTGGAAAATTTTGAAAACCGATGTCATATCGACATTTACTTGTGACTCAACCTAGTAAATATACTGCAGAAGTTGACGTGACATTGAATCAAGAGCATTTTATCGCACACATGATGTCGTCTCTTCATCGAGAGTTTCGTCACGTGTGCCACATCGTGCACAGCGTGCGGGAGCCGAGTGTAACCCCTCATATACTCCGCCCATTTGAGGCCCATCATAGCAATGTTTCGCAACAATGCTCTTATCAGCGCGTGTTTATTACTTCCCAAATAAAATTTGACATAACTCAGGATAAGTCTCGGAGAAAATTCCTTTATACATAGAGATTTTTCCTCGCAGCAACATTAAAGGGTAGCGATACCTAGATGTAGTTATTGCTCTCGAAAACGAAGGCGAAAAGGGAACTCGAAGATGAGACTGCGAGATGTGTAGAACGATACCAAAATATGCATGCCGAGCCCGCAAGATGACCAAAATCCATGATAACCTAGTCCCCTGTATTTCGATTTGCTAGAGCGGCTCATCTTCCAGGCTCCATCCTACTCTTTTAGGCGGCTGGTCCAGGTAGATTCAATGTGGAATTTGCGTTTAAATTCCTTGGCCTTATGTTGATAGTAAGTAAAAGAATGTAGAAATGTTTGACTTGATTCTTCCTTTGACTTCATCTCGTCGTTTGAATTCTGCTATATGAGTTTTAGCTCTGATAACTATGTGTATAGAGAAGAAACTCCACTGCAAAACTACTTTTCTATGATATGTTGCATAGGATGTAATGTGCGTTCTACATTCGAAGAATATGCTCATTAAGGTTTACAAAACGCTGGAACGAATGCTTTTATGTCAACGCTGCAACAACTTTCGGGCCTATCGGCCCCATTTTTGCCGGGATCAGCTCTCAGCGTGCCGCAGTGGGCAAGCTCTCCATCATCTGGGCAGAAATGGATTGATCCGGTAACGAAGTTCTCAAGTTGTAGCGTTATTGTCACGTGTCGCTTGCTTGTTTGTTATGATGTGTGAGAAAGATGTCTGACATTAACGTTCTCGCTCGCTAGCCATGAAATGTCTCAACTCTTTGAGCATTTTTGTAATAGCCCTTTGAAGCACCTTTATATCGTCTGACGGAAGCAGCGCGTGCAGTTGCACGGCAACCACGCCATGACACACTTTCATACTTCGTTTCCTCATTTGCTCGATTTCTTTTCCTTCTCAAATCATTTGTTACTATCCGGAGCCTCAGAATTAATTTAGCGCTCAGTTCCAGGCTTAACACTGAGGAGGTGCTTTTCAGGGCGCGTGAACACTTTCCATTCCCCTGGAGTCCTACCCTCCCCCCTTCTCTCACCATCCCACAACAGATGTCAAACCAAAGGAAAGTATGAAAAGTGGTGTTAGCAGTTCCCTTCGTTTCTAGTAGTATAAAACTTTTATTCCTGGCATTGTGTTATTGAATCCCTAGACGTGTCATGTCTTGCTTGCCGTGTAATTGCACGCGCGCTTCCGTTAAGTGTGAAATGAAGGTGTCACACCAAAATAGCTTTGCACCATTTTAATTCAACTGCTTACAGCGCATGACTGGTTACAGCTTGTTGCAGTTCCTGGATCGGCGATCATACCCTTGAATTTTTGAAACAAGGCTTTCAAAACGCCACAGCATTTTATTTTGTCAAAAGCGTTAAAATGAGTTATTTCCATCTTCGCAAGGAAAATGGCTCTCAGCGCGGCGCTGTCTTCGTCTATGCCCTCTCTGCAGGAGGGGAGCATTTTGCAATGCGGGCCCCCGTGTTTGCGACCCCCTCCCTAATGAGCAAAATGCGACTCCCTCGCTCGAGTACTTCGAGCAAATGGTTGACCCTGACTACGAATCTGGTGACACTCAAGGTTACTTAGGCTTTGATAGAGTGAGTGAAAATGATGTGTACTACATGACAGCTGTCTTGTACCTCTTTGAGGTGCCAGTGAATTTACCAGTGACCTGAAAAATCTCTTTCAGGCAAAGGTTGCTGCGATGCTACCAATGTATCAGGTCTTCACTGGGGTCAAAGGATTGTAAGTACTATAGTCGTGATTTAGATAAAAGAATTCTAATATTTCACTCTTCAGGGACATATCGCAACCTGAATTGATTAGCGAGCAAGGTAATGCTCCTGCAAGCACCCCACCTTCTTCTACCACTTCTTCATCTTCGAGGTATCCTGGTGCCGTAGTCAAGAGGAATCGTACGAAATCTCCCATCATATGTCGCTCACCGCTATCCGTTGCACAAGTGAGTTCTCCCTTCTGAATGTGATCAAAGTAACAGTTCGTCGTTATCAATATTCAGAATTCACCACATGGAGGGCCCTTATCCAAAGGTTCATCGCCTCACCCATCGGTATCCACTTCTCAGGATGTTGACGTGGATGTTTGTCCCCAAACATCCAATCAAACTCAAGCTTATGACCTCACTATACGGCGCAGCTCTCCTGCCAATGTTCCAAATGCAGGGAATTCTCATGATTTCGATCAACCTTCGGTATCATCCAAGTCTAGTTCTGCTCCTGCACATTCTGTAAGTTTTCATTTGCAACTTCTGACATGGTTAACATGCTCTTTTTACTTCCACTACTATCGCAATAGGAAGGATGGAAAGCTCTTATATTGCTCAATTTTTGTTGATAGCACTTTTGAGAAATTAATGTCATGCTTCGTACATCGGCACCTAGTAGATATTGATCCTGGAGCCACCGTAACGTTGCCTAAATCTCACTTCAGCCGTCCGCTATATCCATTCTATCTCAGCTCTGTGGGTGCTTGAATGAAGTACACCGTTAAAGCAGCACAACGAAAGCATTGACCGTGAGGCAGTTTGCGGTATTTGCGTTCGGCACGTCTTGCGTCTACCTGAACTCTCAACCCCTTTCTCCTTTAGAACCCCCGCCTCATGAACGAATGAAATCCTGACACAACCACCTTGGAGACCGCCCCGTTTCCAGTGTCGAGGAGGTCGAAACACTCTGGACGTGTTGCTACTGATTCGCTCGAATTAGATGCCAAAGTGGCCACGGCCACCACTTGACCTAATCCTTCTCATCCACAAGAGCTGCGAAACCACCGTTTCAAAATCGGTGTAAAGGATTCAGTAGTACCGTTTGTCAAGAATAGGATAGGTGCTAGCTGGAATATAGGCATCCTAAGAGATTCCTTTCCACCATGTCGTGAAATCCACAAAAAGCGCAGAGCCCGCTTGATAGTAAGATGAACTGCTCAGGTTTCCAGTTTCGGAATTTCGCATAGCTCGGCTCTCGCAGAAATACCATACTTGACGCACTTCCGTCCGATCGCTCTTGCGCACTTTAGTCTAGTTTTTATTATTGCCGTTTGATAATTATTATCGTTGTGACTGCATGCTCTACCGTTTCCTTGATTAGGATTCAAGGCGAATTGTACGATGAATAGGCAGTCCATTGGAAACAATCTGGGTATGGTGAGTGATGCACGAAAGAAGAGACAACCAAGGAAAACGGTCTAGAACTCAAACAAAAAACCCTTCCCTCGCCCGTTCATTTCGGCACGCCACCAGTGCTGCGGGGCAGGCCATGCTAGATCGCCTAGGGCGTCGGGCCTTCGATGCGAATTCTGTCGATCCGAACTCGTAGTATGCCTGCCTGTTTCTTTACTAAGTAGGTTTCCCCTTCTTCGACCTTCGCCATTACCGAGAAAGTCTCATCTAAAGTCAAGGTTCGGGATAAAATAGATGTGGAAAAGCGTTCAGTTATGAAGCTAGAGGTGGGAGGTGGTCCGGAAAAGAGAAGGAAAACAAGCGTAACCACAGGCGCGACATCAAAGCTTGTCGACCTGTCTGCTACCCCCGGGATGGAAGAGGTAGCGCGTCTAATCACGGAGCGTGCCCTCATAACAACATGAAGAGTTATGAAGTGTCGAAGAGAACTAAAACTTGACGCAGAAGTTTTCATCCTTGTTCACTGCGATGGATTGGAATTAGAACCATGTATTTTATCGAATTATTGCATATTTCCAAGTTACTGTGATTTTTGTGCTTTTATGACAATGAACGATTGACAAAGAATGAATGTTTAGGTGTCACAGCCATCAGTATTGCAAGGCGGTGGACAATCCATAGCTGAGGATAACTGGGCAGGCATTATTGATTTGGGCGATTTGGACCTCTTCCCTGGAGCACCTTCGAAAGAAAGTGATACAGATATTGCCAACGTCTTCGAATTAGGAGGGAATCTCTTTTCCAATTCTGCACTTGAATCGCCTCAGAAATCTATCTCTTTGTACGTTTAAGTTTTTGGAAAAGGTTGTGTATTCACGTATAGAGTGCTTTTCCAGTACTGCCACATCAATCTCCCAAACTGCTGTCATTCATACCGAGATCACGTCTGCTGATCAAGAATTCGATCAAATATTCAGCAGCTTAGAGAGCAACACTGCTTCATCTAATGCTTTTTCTTTCGACTTTCACGGTAGCGGAAACAATCCCAGCCTCAGTCCTGTTCAGGTCTGGTAATTTTTTAATAATGGTGGTTACATTTAAGCAAAATTGGGGTCTTTTTCAGTTCACCCCTCCTGATTCCCCTTCTGCTGGTTCTTGTGAACCAAATATGATTGGATTGTTCACGGAACAGCCTACCTCATCGAATAATGTTGGATCATCATGTGCTCCCTCAAACACACCTACCCAACTTCTTGGAAATTACAGGAGAAGGAATGGTAGGCATTGAATTTTAACGGAGCGTTGTTAAAAGTTACATTGAAATTTTTCCTAGGATGCTCAAAGCCTATAGCAGCTCCTTCGCCATCTTCATTCAAGAAGGAACCTCTCGTAACGCTTCCTGTACAGAAGTGCAATAAGATACCCATATACAAACAAAGACGGGTCGACGTTGCAGTATACTACGAAGGTAGTACGGAAGCAAAAAGAGGTGGAATTTGCTGGTGTTAAAATAGCTTTGTTATTGTTCTGCAGTTGTCTTCATGTGAATGTCAAATAATGTCTCAGACGTAAATGACGCATATTCTTTCGAGGACGAGGAAGAGGATGGCTCTTTTGGGTCGATTGATTCTAAGGAGAAAAATAACACGGAGGTTCGGATGAGCACCATTACATCAGACCAAGATTCTTGGTAAACGCAAATCATTTGAAAATTAAACAATATGTTCAGGCTCATGAGAAGTTGTCAAAGGCCTCCGGGCATCATTCAGAAGGTTCGCAGAAGAACATTTATGTGTCTGGTATAGGATTCGCAATTCCTCCTGATCAGCAGGTGCCTGCCATCATCTTCCATTATGCAATTGGTCGAACAAATGTTGCAATTTCAGCATGAACTTTGGAAGCATGCTCAGAAAAAAAGGTCGTCTAGTGAGAACAAAGCTGCTGTCCCCACTGCCTTTGTTCCGTCACTACACACTGAATCAAGGAAATCTACAGGTCCCAATGCTGTTTTCATTTACTTGCTATTTAATATTTATGGTTTAGTAGTCCATTGCCAGTCATCATTTACTTCATATTGTAGCTCACCAAGGAACTGATTTGAAGTCAGAAATCCACCACTGCGAGCTGATTTCATTGTAACATAATTCTACCTTTGGCTCCGCGCTCTGGACGTGAAATACGGGGCTTCAGCGATAGGAGCGGGACGACAGGAATCCTTAGTCTTTGAAGCGCCTATCTCTGTAAAAGCCTCGTCCCTCACCGACGGTTAACTTCTCCCCTAGTTTCTGTCTTTGTTTTTCTGAACTTCCTCGTCATCTTTTGGGGAACTTCTGTTTCGGTTCCGCACATGCAGGTACTATCCTGCTCTATTTTACCATCTAACTTAGCAAGTTCGAGTCGCTTGCGCGTGTTGAAGGGTCGAATTTGTTCGGTGAATAATGGTAGGGATACGCTCCTCACATTGTAAATTGGCCTCATTCAGGCATCTTTACTACACTGCGGATTTTTCACATATCTCAGACCGAGTCTGACCCTCATTAGCAAGAAGCACTCGTTCAGATTGCCACCACTGGGTGTATCTTTTGCTAATCACTGTGCCCTATTCATTTTTTTGGTTTCTCACGCTCTCTCGGACACAATCAAGCATGGTTTTTTATTTTCAACTTCACCTGATTGGTGCAGGTCGCGCATACTGTTAGTGATTTTCCGTCGCAATCGGTACTCCCAAATACTCCAATGGACGCTCATGTCCTTGGGGGGTGGGGACATTCTTGCACAAGGAATCTATGGCATTTAGGAAATTCACATGTTAGCCACGTTTAGACGTGTTGAGCCAGTCAACCTTTACTAAACATGTATCGACCTGTATTAGACATGTGTCACCATGTATTAGAGCAGTTCATATGAACTGAGCGGCGACATTATCACTATCTCGCCGAGAGGGCGCAGACAAACATAATTTCGCATTGAGGGCCGAATTCTTCTCAATGAGGTGAGAGCTACATCTTCTAGACGTTTATAATCAAACATAGCGCTTGTCTCAGTTTTGAGGCGGTGTTTAAAATATCCCCTCCTCAAGGACATTAGCGTCGTTCAGTTTTTTTTATCACGGTCTCTCTGCTCTCTCATAATTGAGTTTCGTCTTTTTGTAACAAGCACCGCCTATGTAGGATATTCCTTGTCTGCGGGTAAGCTCCTTGCTTTTAGTGTTTTTAGTGGAACCGTAGGTAACCAGTAAACATTGGCGCTGCATACCAGTATTGAGCTTTCTTTTAATTTCGAATAGTAGCTAGCCACATTATTATCCAGAAAGTCTTGCTAAGAAGCTTAACGTCCATCACAGTTTCGGAGCATCCCTGGTATTACCTCGCCAAAAACTGTGGCGTTCTTTCCGACCAAAATGAGCGCTGTTCGTCAAATAGTACTGGTCGGAGACCAAATTATTACAGAAGTTCTCTTTCACTGAGTTTGTGCTATTTTCAGCGAAGCGAGCTGAGCCAGAAGTAGTAACTGTTGCTGAGTCGATTCGCCGAAGACGGAAAGAGCGGCTCGCTAGCAACTTTGTGAAGACGGAACAATCGAATGAAAATGACTGTGCTAAGGAGGACTCATCAGAGCGTTGTGCCGAACACATTAAAAAAGAGTGAGATTTTGGCGTCTTTCATAATGTGAGCTAGAAGCTTCATATTTTCTACATCGTCTTTATCAACGATGACCGATGGCTGCTTCGGTCTGATATATTCTTTTTATTTCGTGGCGAACGGAACCTTCATTTAGAAAATCTGTTCTAATTCGATACTATTAAGAGGGAAATCTGCTCGTCGTGCGCGGATTTTCTCTTTTTTAAAGTATACTCTGCTCACCCCGAGCACTCTTCACTCCTTTGGCTTTCTCTGCTCACCCCGAGCACTCCGCATTCTCTTGGTTTTCCATCACGAACTTGAATTAATGCACGTGCCTCTGTGTGATGTAAACAGAACTGTTTTGAATAAGCGCTCTACGCAAAACTTGGTGGACTGCGAATTCCTAATCATTTGAAGATTCCGAAAAACTTAGGAGCTTTGTGATTGGTGCTTCAATTTTGAAAAGATCTATTTGTTTGATTTTCTGCGGAAATGTCATCATCCTGTCTCACCATAATTTACAGGATTAAGACCCATATTCCACAGTAAGAACAAAAACCTAAAATAATTGCATTTGTTCGCTAGACAGCTCGAAAAACCCGGCAAGTCTGTCGCGCTCGAATGTCCGTCGTAAATCTCTCACAAAGGTTGGCGAGTTGCTTTCACTAGAACTCTTTTTGGCCTTTCCCACCTATGGTAGTGACTCTCTCTTTTTTACTGCATCCTCTAAAATAAGAAGGAAACATGGAAACGAAAGAGTGTGGAAGTGATTGGCAACTTTTGATCAGAAGTTCCATTTTCTGCTTATGTTAGATCTTTTGCTATATTGATAGCAATCAGCGACAATGAAGGTACAACGAGCTCCGTATTCCAGGTTGGAAACCTTACCAAGGCTCCCTAAGATAATTATAAAGCTACCTCGACGTTCTACCGAAAAGTGCTACGATTCTAAAAGCAAGAAGAAACGGCGGAGAAGAAAGGAGTGTGATGACGAATGGAAGGGGAGTGACTGCTCTAAAAGAAAGCGAATTAGGCGAGAAAAAGGATATTCCGGGTAATTCAATCTTTTTTTTACAAGTTTGGCCGATTTTATGTTACCATCGTAAGAAAATTTCCAGATATAAAATACGAATTGTGGAACGGCCGCAAGAGGGAGAACACAAGAGGGCAAGAGTTGAGGAGGAGCGAATAGATGTGAGGATGCTCTCTAAGAAACGTCGGCTGATGATGCAGTGGCAGGAAGGACAAGAGTATCACAATCGTGAAAATGGTGATTAGCTAGTGATTTATTATTTTGGATTCAACCTCGCTCACTCACCACAATAATACAGTGTCGCTACTATCCCTAATTTCCAAAGCGTATCTGCATATCGGTTCGTTCATGCTTCACAGAAATGCTGATGCAAGAGCACAGGTACCTTATTGCGATGGCACCAGAAGCCTTCTGCCAGTTACTGGGTCGCACTGGGATCTCTTCATTCAGCTTATGAGTGGTTACAGCAATTCAAGGGACCAACTAGAACCCACTGTACCTTCCTGTACGGGCCCTTGATGAATGAACAACCAATTTTTTCATCCTTATGCCGTGAAAGATCGTTTGGAGGTCTATCGCATAGGTCCCGTGACGCGTCGCTTGCATCGGCGCGCTTAGGCCGATGTCATAGTTTGCGAATCGAGCGATTCGCTAGCGAATCGCTGGATCCGAGCGTTGCACAGCGAATCGAGCTGTGTGCCAGCGGATCGAACGGTGTACCAGCTTGCGCAACGCTATGGCAGATAAACTCTAAGGAGAACCATATGTTCCGCAATGGATTTCCAAAATATTCTCAAAGATATCTCAACATGTAAAGGTCAGAGGCCAAAGACCCTAATATTTCCGATGAACTAGTATTACGGTAGCGTAGAAGTTCGCTGTGATTATTGTTGCTTGCAAACATTCGTTTTGATTCACATCCATAGTTTTAATTGTAAGCAAGAGATGATTGCGTTTTCTAGGCGAACATAAAGTGAACGTCCCTTCCCGCTTCGTTCAATCCGTTTGCGATTTCAACACGGAAACCGTGAAAGCTCGATTGTCGAAATTCGGCCAAGCCGATGGGCATCTGCCTGTAAGTCTCTTTCCAAGAGTTTTCTCTGTAAAGTTTCTTGTGAGAATTCAGGTCATAATAATGTTACTCTTTTAAGAAAGGAACGTTTGTGGTTTGCAAGGCAGATTTGTTTCGAGATGACTGTGCGTTGTGGAGAGTGGACAATCAAAATATGATTCAAAAGTATCCGCCAAGAATTGATCCAGCAACAAGGGACATATCCTACAAGAACAGCAGCACAGTTCGTTTCAGGCTTCCTCTGATAAGCGTCTATTTTGCTGTGTGCTCAAAATAAGATATTTTAGTATTCTGGATGGTGCGACCAAGTGGCGTTTGGGTATTATCGCGTCGCCATAAAACATCTCAAGCAGACGCGTTCAGAGGCTATAATTCAGCCAGAGATTCCTATATCCGATCTTTTCCCTGCCATGACTTCAGAGTATAATGATGCTAGCAGTTTCATAAAAGGAGACGGTATGATATTTTATGCTTGATGCTAACCGAGATTAGATCGAGTTTGACCGTTTCTATGGGGGGGGGGAACTCTTCTTATGCTACTTAAGGCTCGCTTTATTATTAGCAGTAATTCAATCTGTTGTACAGTCGATATCTCGAAGTCAGATTAGGCGTGGCTATGGATTTGACGTGGCCGTTGCCGCACTTGATAGAAGCCGTAGGAAGGCTGTTTCTAACATACTCCGTTGGATATCAGCAAAGCATGCTGGAAGCAGCTTATCCGCGCAACTTCTATCAAGTGCGGCGGCCGCCACGTCAAACCCAGAGACACGCCTAATCCGACTTCGAGATATCGAGTATAACTGTTTCGTATATTGGACTTATACAAAGCAGCGCAGCAGAAATATTTACGTATCGGATTTTTCTCCAAAGAAATTTAGATAGTGGTGGCTGTACGCTGCTCTATTAATTTAACATCCACACATGAATTTCTCAAAAACTCCACTTTCAAGATGTATTCAAAAAAGCCTCTGTATCAAAAATGTTGTAGGTAGGGAGGCAACTCAGCACACCAACACTAATTGTAAGTTCCATTTTAGAAACATAAAACAATTTTTCCCTTTTTGAAAAGTTGCTCTGGCCTATTCAGCAAGATCATACACCTCATATTCTTCTACTGCTTTTCATTTTTGCCCAATCACACTTCTTTATTCCCATCAACACTGCTTCCTTATGTGACAGCGAAAGGACAATCGTTATCGGGATTTGAAAGAAGAAAAATCGTTACGAAATCGTGGAACAATAGTGAAGCGGTAAAACTGCGCGAAAGTTGTCTTCGAGGATTGTGCAGGGTATGAAAAGGGTGAAGTTTGACCATACTTCTTTGGCTCCTAAATCAAATCGTATTTGGAGCATGATATACCTAGTCATTTGTTTGGTGTATGTGACAGAACAATCAAAATGTGAAGCTGAGTCGACTGGAATGTGATTGCTTTTTTTGGCTGTTTTTGCCTACAATTTTTCCGCCTTTTCTTACGTTTTATTGATACTTTTTTTGTCGCAGAATGTATTGAGGATCAAAATCTTCAAAAGAAATCCAGAAAAATGCTAGGAAATAGGAGGCATAAAAACCAATCCCACTCTACCCAGCTCGGCTTCACCTTTTGAGACAAAGATGACTTGGTTTTTTTGGTGTCTTTTACATTTCCCACTCGCGGATGGATCGCTGTTTTATAACATACATCAAACAAATACCTAGTGGTGTATTAGGTTTCAAATAAAATCTGATTTAAGGAAAGATGGTCAAAACTTGATTTTGTTCCATGTCCTACACAATCTTCGGGAACATTGTTAACTCATAAATTCGGCACAGGTTTCGCGCAGTTTGATAGTTTCATAATTTTTGTTTCGATTTTCCTTTTTTTAATCCTGGTGGCGATTTTCCCGTCGCTGTCACATAAGGAAGGAGTGTTTATAACAACAGAGAAGTTTGACTGGGCAGAAAGGAAAAGTGAAAGGGAATATGAGTTGGATGTATGATATTGCGGAACAAGCCAGAGCGACTTTTCCAAAAAGGGAAAAAACTTTTATGTTTTCAAATTGGAATTCAGTGTTGGTGTGCGGAGCTACATTCATATCCACAACATTTCTGATTTGGAGTCTTTTCGAATACATCTTGATAAGCCAGTTCCTGAAAAATACGTAGGTGGATGATAATTACGTGGAGCAAGGTAAAGGTTGAACCAGACTTAGACATCTACAGAGTCATCTATTTTCTTGATCTTCTTGTCTCTTCTAATTGGAAATTTATTCAACGGCATAATTTTTTCAAATGGTCGTTCTTTCAAGAGCCTAGACATGTTTGGATTTTTTTAAAATGTGTTTTATCACTGTCTGAGACTCATTTAGCTTAAAATGATGACTGAGAAGCCTTCCTTCAGTGAAAATTCCAGATAAAGTTCTTTCTTGGTTCCAATTTCGCATTTCATCCTTCCCAAACGTATTCATCCTTAGTCCAGGATCGTGCTTGGCCATGAATCTACTCATAAAGTGCTGTTTGATTCGTATTTGTCAATAAGTATGTTTCAGATGAGAATGCTGTTGATTTCGAGGACCATGTCTCAATGCTTCGTGATCCCCTACGTCTGTCGCTGTACACTTTCGTGCATGCTATGATCAATCATGCGCTTACTTTGAATTTTTTCCAGCAGATGAGAAGTAAAAATGGTAAGTTTGTTGGTTGTTTCTCGTGTTGATAAAAGCTCCCAGGACACAGGTCACAGTGTGCGAAGTACTGTGGATACCGTGGTTACAGATACATTCATAGAGGTTTTCGACTGTAGCTGATATGACTTTTTCTTCACCATTTAACGTAATTTTTGATTTTTTTCTTCATATTTAAAAGGGTGTTCAATTATGGGTTACGCATAAATTGACTCGATATTTTTGCGCTTGCTATGCCTCATGCTTCTTGCCGCCTCTGACAGGAAGAATCTCAGTTGAGGGCACTTCACTGAGTGATCGCTAAGTGATTCAGAGATATGTAAATCAATGAAAAATGTCATCACTTCAATGAAATAGGGACGCCTCAATGGTGTAAACGTTTTTTAATGCCACTAGCGTGGCTCTGTAATTGAGCTGTTTGAAATCTCATATTCAAAAGTTCGTCCTTAGAGTATTCCCACGCTGACGTTTTTGCAAAATTTTGGTTGAAGACGATATTGAAATGAGGAAATAGATTTGCGAAGTACGAGAATGCGAGGTGGGGTAGTCAGTGGATAATATTTTCTCTGTCAGAAAGCTTCATAGCTCCCGTAGTAGCTAGCCAGCCATCAGTTTTTTCGAGCAGAAGAGATACTGCGAAGGCTTTGTTCTCTGAAGGACGGTTGATTTTGAGAGGGTACCGACTTTGCTCACTCCCATTGACAAAAAGGTCGAAGCCAAATTGAAGTGTGAAAATCATCTACTTTCTAAAAGCAACCCGTTCCAACTATAATTTTTTCGAGAGATGAGTCCTTTTTCACTCTCGTAATCTGGAATTATGCACGAAGCAAATGTAATATTCTCTAATACAAGCTCATAAGAACAAAATAAGTGAGCATAATAAGCGATTGAGAGAAAAGTCGATCGTTAAGGCTTTGGAATCGTTCAGCAAACTTCTGCTGAGTCTCTAGCTCATGCCTATCCATGGTTTTCATTGATTATCTGTATATTTTTTGCAGACTGGAATTTCCTGAGAGCGGCGACTGAAATCGAAAGGATCAACTCTGACAGCCTAAAGAAGCTCCGTAGTCTTGTGAAGTTCAGTGAAAAGCTCGAGGACGCTATTCATTGTTACACGCAACTTTGTATTACGGAAAGTGACTACCACTCGTTTCAATGCCAGGTAAAGATGCACACTTTGTGATTGCAATGCGAGCAATTTTGTTCCCTTTTTCTTTAACAAAATACATCATTTGAAAATATTTTATTTATTTATTTAAATATTGTCATTGATTATCTGTATATTTTTTGCAGACTGGAATTTCCTGAGAGCGGCGACTGAAATCGAAAGGATCAACTCTGACAGCCTAAAGAAGCTCCGTAGTCTTGTGAAGTTCAGTGAAAAGCTCGAGGACGCTATTCATTGTTACACGCAACTTTGTATTACGGAAAGTGACTACCACTCGTTTCAATGCCAGGTAAAGATGCACACTTTGTGATTGCAATGCGAGCAATTTTGTTCCCTTTTTCTTTAACAAAATACATCATTTGAAAATATTTTATTTATTTATTTAAATATGTTCTTGTTGAATTTCTTCATCACTTTCGAATAAATTTAACGTATAAGGTAATTTCAAATCCGAATCTCATTTCATATGAAATTTATAAATAGAAAAACAATCACCGGTAGTGAAATCGAAGCAAACCTTTGATTCTTTAATCAGATCCAATTCCGAAGCAGATGATTTGAACTTCTTTGGTCAGATTCGGTATTCCAAATGGGTGTCCCCCAAGAGGCCCGTCGCGCGGCGAAGGAAGAGACGCAGACGCGGCAAAGGACGAGTCGCAGCGCATACTGTAGCGGTTAGGCGTCAATTTCAATAGAACGCATTACAGTACGTACAACACCATTCACTTCACGGCGTAGGCTCGAAATTCGATATGCTTTCCGATTGAGCACTAGGTCACATCTAAAAGATATAGGTCACATCTAAAAAAGGTAAATTCGGAAAAAAAGCTAGCTTTGGCTAAAAGCAGTTGCGACTAACGCACGACTATGCACGACAAACGATAGGCTTTAAACGGTGAGGAAATGGAAGGAGACGTAACAAAGACGAGCAGTCTGGGGGCAATGAATGTGGAGGAAAGTAATAGCGCAAAAAAACAAGAAAAAGCGGCGTGTATAAGCAGATATCGAATTTTGAGCCCACGCCGTGGAGTGAATGGTGTTGTACGTACTGTAATGCGTTCTATTGAAATTGACGCCTAACCGCTACAGTATGCGCTGCGACTCGTCCTTTGCCGCGTCTGCGTCTCCTTCTTCGCCACGCGATGGGCCTCTTGGAGGGACACCCGCTGCAAATAGTTTCCTTAGGTGCTGGTCTCAATCTCTTCTACATGAAAGGGATTCAGGTTCTTCACACCTCTTCAATATGAGATCCTATAATATGCATCTTAAAACCCCAATCACGTCCGCTTTCCAACTCTACAATACGAGTATCCGAGCGAGTTATGAAGATTTTTCGGGCCACACTGCCTGGCATGCTTTCACATATGACACGGAAGCTCCACCTATCTCGCCTCCCTGTGGTGCGTAAACGATAGGAGACTGCATAAAGTACTGAAATCGTTAGTTTCATGAAACTATTATTGAAAGTGTACGGTTGTCTAATAATTAAAAGAAATCATTGTTTTAGCAAAAAAATCTAAATTTAATATACTATTAACAAATTTATTTATTTACTGCACATAGATGCGCCCTTAACACTGCTGCGAATGAAGTAGATATGAAGCAATCGAACATTGAAGAAAAAAATACGGACATCAAACCAGGGTGAACAAAGGAGTCAACGACAGCCAGAATCTTTGGAACAGTAATGAGGAACTAGTGGAGAAGTGAAAGAGTACGAACCCCAGTCGTAAGCCCAGGCCTAAGTGATCAGTCTAAAATACCAAGCCAATTGTTGATCAGCACCCAGAGTTCCTCACAGAAATGACAAGTATTTACGTGCGGTTAGTGGCCCTGCAAAGAATAGATATGAAGATAAGAATAGATAGAAAGAGCGCAGGATACCATCAGCTCGGGGCCTGGCAACACTCAAAGCAAGAAGGCTTACCGAATAGAATCCAGTGGCAAAAGTTGGTGAGGGCTCAGCAGCGAATGCGAAACGACATTAGTGATCAGGTCATCTCAATAAATACTAGTGATTAAAAACATCAAACTTCTAAGCACGAACCCAGACGTACAACGCGATGCAGCTCAGCAAGGTAAAGAAGTGACAGTCAGGAGGTGAGAACTGAAAAAGGTCATAGTTGGAGACCATCATAGGAAATATTGTTAAAGATAAGGGCGCGGTGTCTGGCATCAGAGTGTGCATTGGAGAAACCTACCTCGTGTACAGCTAGTGGGTCTAAAACTCTAGTACGTACTGGCACGCAGCTATGATTCACTACGGAGAACTCGAAGAAAGAAAACTAAGTCAGAGTCATTCCAAAATTCGGTCTTCTTAACGCAGATTCCAGTAACATTAATACGAAACAGAGACGCTGCGTAGTAGACATCGAAGCATCGAGGTCACTTTTCTAACCTTAACTTCTCATTTTTGCAATCTACAGAAGCTTTGCTATAGTCACAGTACTAATTAGTTGTTGAGATTCTGTTTTACTGAAAATTGTTCAGAAACCCAAACAATGTATCTGCAATGCCCCATCTTAATCATTCCTTCTAGTGTTGCGCATTGCGACCTATTGAACGAATAATCCAGTTGTATTCGCTTGATTCGTACAACAACGAAACGTTGCAACCAGTGGAAAGGCCTCCATCGGACTGCAGTCCATTGCCAGCAGTTGTGGGTCTTTGTTGAAATTGTTTTACTTAGAAATAAGTGACTTTTCACATGTATAATTTCACACATTTTTATTCAGGAATTCTTAGTCTGCCAGCCGTGTTCTAATTTGTCACAACTTTACCACAGCTGCTTCCATATGAAGTATCACCTGTTAAAAAAATGCGAGGACAAGGTTTGTATCGACAGCATTGTTTCTGTACTTGCGGCTTACAACAGTTCTGTTTATACTGCTGTTCAAATTCAGTTGTAATTTGCGTTGTTTCAGCTGGAAATTCTCGGAACGCAACATCCAGAGTTCTCACCTGAAAAAACTGTGGAGGCGGCCCGGAATTGTCGAGTTTGGTTAAATAGGATTATTGCTGATTACCTGGACATTTGGAAGAAAGTGCAAAGTCTGGAACCTTGATATGAGCCTGGACCGGTTTGTATTGGACTGGCTTACTCGACATGACAGCTGATCAGTTGCGAATCAGGAAGTGAAATGATTGGATGTGGTTCTCAAATAGACGCTCATTTGTCGCAAATCCACCTCTCACAAGATCATCGCACAAAAGCTAGTTTCATGGAGTATTGCCTTCTTGCAGCAATTGAACAAGAAATTCTTATGACCCCTAGAACTCCATTACATTTCACCCAAACCCTTTAGATGAAGAAATAACGGTGATATCGACGGTAGTGATAGTGCTGTATTTATTCTGCAACAGCAAAAAAACTATTGCTTTAACATAGCTAGGTTACTTTCTACATAATAGCAGTACCTATTTGTAAATGTCATCCCATATAGATTTTCTGTGTCGCCTAAGAATAGTTGATCATTTCTCACTAACTTTAGCTCGAAGCACTTCTTTGTACGATCAACTAGTCTTTTTCTTATGCGGGCTTGTGTTTGAAGCTCAGTTGCATATTTTCGTTGACCTTTCACTTACGCTTGTTGAAATACGGCCTCCGAGATGCGTCAGGTGTCGTTGTTGTATGATTGTCATAATTTGAGCCTTTTGATTTCCGTTTGTTATAGGAGGGAGTTTTTTTTTTCAAATATCTTGTACAGAGTGAATAGGATCTCGCTCTCTGCTTTCAAGAAAAATAAATGTTCGAATTTTTCTATTTGCTTCTTCAAACAAGGTCAACACATTGGATGGCACCCGACCTCGAGCGACACCTCTTCCGCCGCAGGAAAATTGCAACTAAGCCGGGCGATACCTCAAGTTAAAGGAATCTTGCGCGGAAAAATCATGATTCTATTTCAGCCATAAATCACTGGCTTGAGACTCATTATCCACGATAATAGTGAAAAGAACTGAAGTATTGCTTTCGTTTTGATTAGAAATTCGAAAACTCGAAAAGGCTGCTACGCGTTCGAATTGCCCACGGACGTCTTTCACGAATGCTGGCGACGGGGATGCTCAAACTTGGTTCTTGGAGTGCATTCACTAGAAGCTCTTTCTGGCCTTCTGCTTCGTTGCATTCACATCTTACACTTCTACTCCATCCTATTCCATCGATCGATTTGTCTCCACTCTCCGAAATCGCGCGCTTTAACCCGATTCTCTCATTGCGTCGCCTGGTACGTAGCCGGCCAAACGCCGTCTTCTTTCCATGCCTCGCCTGGCTCTGCCTCCTGGTCCTTCGATGGTCCATAACGTGTAGTTTTTGTACGTTTGTTTCTCTTCAGAAACCGAATCTTCATGCGTGAAACTTTGTGTGCTATTTCCAGTGATCACAACTGACATATTCTTGCATTCTCTCTCAGCATGAATGTATCAGTTGTGATCACTGGAAACAGCACACAAAGTTTCACGCACGAAGATTCGGTTTCCGAAGAGAAACAAGCTTACAAAAACTACACTATGGACAATCGACCCCAAGACTGACGAAGCTCCACATATCCCTTTCAGTTTCTGCCAGTTCTATCAACATTGCTGCACTTGCCCCTTGAAGTCCACTGTGTCCATCGAAAAGAGTCGGCCTCGACTTGAATAATGGCTGATAGTGAGACTTATGACGCTGTGCATGCTCTAATGCTCCCATGGAGCTCTTGTCTGTGTGACTCTCCGACAGCTGCACTGTGCAGAGCTCCTGGAGAACATTAGAGCCTCGTAAACACCTCGTACGAAGGGGTCGCATTTTGGTCGGAAGGGGGTCGCAATTTCGAGGACTGCCAGCCACAGGCGCGGCGTGGCGTATCCGAGGGCAAGAATTGTTTGTGCAGACCGCATTAGATTCGATTAATTATGCACAGAGAGACAGTTTTAGGCAAATTACGGTGTTTTCCTTGAGGAATAAAGAACAGTTGAATGCATCCCTATGAAAGGTTTGACTTCTCGGGGCTGAAATTAAAGTTCTTCGGGACCTAATTTTCTGAGGACGATTCTTCCAGACAACGGTAAAACACATAAGAAAGCAGAAATCTCGTAGTCTTCAAAAATTCTTCGCCCTCTCCACAACAAGTTGTTGAAATTGTGGCTATGTGCTGAAAGCTCAAAAACTCGCATGTGCTGCTCAAAAACCTATGGGAACAAAATGTTCGAACGTGTGATTTTCTCGGAAAATGGATTTTGAAAAACGGTTTGGTGCTTGTTAGAAAGAGCAAATCCTGCACTTTCACCCCATGAAAAAAGTGCATCACAGAAATGAAAATGAAGTGAGTTATGGTCGCTGAAAGCCCAAAAACTCGCTTTTGCACGAAAAATGTTCGAACGGGACAATTTTTTGAAAAGGGGACAATCACTAAACTTTTTATACTATTTTGTTAGAGAAATATTTGAAGTTTCTGAAACTTTTTACAGATTTCCAAAATGTCGCATACGAAAGATTTTATGGGCCTTCAAAGTTGAAGGTGCGCCTTCTTAGAATTTTGGGTTTTCCACTTCTAACAGAAGTACTTTCCGGAGAGTTAGGCAATCCTTGTAGTTTTCTGAAAGCGCACCTCAGGCACAGTCAAAATCTACCTCAACAAGTCAAAAAAGTACGTCCCAAGAAAGTTATTCCCCTCTAAAATTTTTTCTTCGCCGCGTCCATCTTCAGCGCCCGGGTGATACCTGCCGCGCTCCAAGGCCACGCGACGACGCGCAGACGCTTTCTGGCGCAACGGATTCATGTCTAGCACTCTTATTAACAAAAACAGGGGGTCGCAACTGGACCCCTCGAGAGCTAGGGGGTCGCAAAAATCCCGAAAATGTTCGAACGTGACGGTTGACCCTGATCCAGATCACGAAGTGCATCTGTCGACACCGCATTTTAACCATCGCCCCCGATCTTCTGGATACGACCCCCACCCCTTTTGTTCGGCCGAGTACGACCCCCTCGTTGTTCTTTGCGCAACGGGCGGTTGACCCTGCTCCGAAAGCCAGAGCGCGACCTAGCGAGTTGGCATTTATCTGTTTTTACGTATAAACATAACACACAATATACTACAAAGGGTGAGGGAAGACCCCTATAAAGGGGTGCGTAAAAAGTTTAAATCTGCCGAACAAGACGGTTGACCCTGCTCCCAAATCAGGTCCGAGGTCGCGAAGCTATATGAAGGGACAACATGGGGTAGACTTCAAGGGGCAAGTGCGCGATGCTGATATAGTATGGCAGAAACTGCAAAGGGAATTGTTGGATGCTTACGTCAGTCTTGGGACAAGAGCCCCGAGTGAGGACAGTGGGGAAAAAGTCCCTTACTTGTACTCTGACCTCTGTGTCAGCAAAGTCCTTTTGCCCATGTGTCATATGAGGGTTCGCCTCTCTTTTTTCACTTCTCGCTTTTAAAGGTCAACAGGTGATAAACGACTTGACTGAGCAGTGAAGATCACGTCAACTTTTCTGCATAGATTAGCTGCACGTTCCCTTTTCTGAAGCCATTTCAAATTATATCTGTCGGCAGAGACTACAGCTCTAAAGCGTAAACCTCTACAAGCGTACTGCCTCAGTAGTGGTATTTGTTATCCGCTTCCGCTTCCAGTCCAAAAATGTACTTTCGCTCGGCTCAACCGACAGCCCACTATAGAGGTAAGCAAACCAGCCCTTTTGGCGTTTCTGCTGGGGCCGTATGCTGAATGTTGGGGAGGGGATGGGGTCCCCGAGGTCGACGGACTACTTCAACTCGGTCGGTACGGTAGGAGAGTGATGACGAAGTGGTGCAGCTGGTCCAGCAGCTCCGCCAAAAGGGCTGGTTTGCTTACCCCAGGACTAAGCCTTGGAGAGGGACGGACCCGTCCTCTCTTTAAGGCTTAGTTCTGAGGTAAGCACCAAATTGTGGCGGTTTAAGGACCGAGTTGAAGTAGTCCGTCGACCGTCGGGGACCCCATCCCCTCCCCAACATTCAGCATACGGCCCCAGCAGAAACGCCAAAAGGGCTGGTTTGCTTACTTCCCCACTATAGCTCAGAACCTCTTCTACAGTACTTTGAAGTCGGTCCGAAAGTTCTTGCACTTTTGTCAATTTGTTCACATTTTGTTTGAAACAGCGTTTATCGCTCTATCCCTATCCAAACCAAAAGTTTTGCTCGTAGCGTCTTGGGAAACAATTATCGCTGTCAATTTCAGAATAACACATGCTCAGAAAGCGAATCTGCGCGATTTTTTGATCCAACCCAACTTAAACAGGAAACGTGTGGAGTCATTCACAATATTCAGGGCGCTCTAAGATACAATAAATAAGCTGCGGAGTAGTGATTATTTGGAGCGATGATGGATGCCTCGAACATGATGTGGATGGTAGTTGGTTAAGCGGACATTGACAAATAGTATTTTGAAGGCAGTGATTACGATAGATTCAAGAAGGGTTTATAGGAGACTGGTGGTGCTCAATGGTACGCCAGTAGCGAAAAAAGCGGAGAAATCCGTCAAGAAAACGCAAAACGGGACCCCCTTTTTGGCCGTTGGTTTTCACTCATGAACAGGTAACAGCTCAGAAAGCGGACGTATGAACGAGTTCAGCAACGCGTTTGGTGACAGCATGCCAATCCATGCTCCATCGAGTTGCTTCAGTTGTGCCGCTGCTGGCAACGCAGCTCGTCCAAATCACCAACTAAACTAGTGGGCGGATCGCTTTTGGGGGCGGAGTGCTTTCGAAGTCCTGCTCAGCAACCAGCGCACCTTTCGTCGTGAAAGCGCCACACCTCGCTTCCTGGCAGCCAAGTAACTGATTCGTGTGGTGCATATGCTTCCCCGATGCGCTCCCTCTTTATCGTAATCGCTGCCTTAACACGTTGACGACAACGCGAGTTTTGGCTTTTTTGGCCACGTGGGACCGGGCGATTTTGCGGGCGCGGCCGCCTCAGGTCGTTCAAGCAGATTTTGAGTGATAAATACATAAATAATGATCAATACAAAACCAGATCAGTAAATTGTAATGAGCACAACTACCAGGGGTACAGTAGTG